TCTGTGATCTGCCTACAAAGGGGGCCGGTGGAGCAGGCATCCTACGTTAGCTCTTTCTGAGGAAAACCTCAGTGTGAAGTACACTGAGCACTCAGCGTTATTTTTATTAACAGCATGACCACAGTGCTGGGGTTTTATCATCGTTATCACAGCAGCATTGCAAAGGTTTTCAGACAGATCGCGTCAGGATCGCAGCCACTTTCTAGAGTTTTCAATATTTTAATATTTCTCAGCCCAGCAGCACTGATTTGAAATGCAAATGAAGCCAGGAACCTGGAGGCTGCAGAAACAGCAAGAGCAGCCGCATTTCCCAGTCTGGCTGTTACATCTGCAGCCGTCAGAACTGGTACCACGCGTAGGGTCAGTCCCATCCCTCCTGATAGCCATCGACTGAATTTCACTGAAGCGTACACAGGTTAACTGTCACAGTGATATAAATGAACTGATGCCAGTTAGGGGAGCCGGATGACTTCACACCAGATTTGCTAATCTTCGGAGTCTTGAAGTTAAGTGTGCTCCATCATAACAACAGTCTTCAGACAAAAGATACAAGCTTAATTAAACTGAGTCAAATAGGTTTAAGTAGTTAAATAGAAACAATTTTTTAAAGTGCTTAAAATCTGTTTGCTCTTTTTTTCCCTTTGTGTTTTAATCCTTTCAGATATGTTATTGTGTATAGACAAAAATATTTCCTGCTTAGGAATTTGCCAGCTAAAGCATTGTCATATTTTTGTGATGTTCACTAGTCAGAACATAAAATCATATTTCTCTCTTTCTGTTGAAGTTTGCATCTAACAGAAGAAAAACCTTGCAGACAAACCCAATAGTATGAAATAAGATGGCCTATTTACTTACAGTGGCTGTGGGTCCTGTGTGGCATCGGTTTCGCTTTAAAAGATTTAATTCATTATGTACCCAAAAAAGAGCCACTCAGTCCACTTCACGCAGCTTGTACACTGGACATCTGTTAGCTTGTGGCTGTGGTCGTGCAAAGGTACGCACAGAGCCAGCACAGTTAATAGTGTAGAACTCTTTTATTAGATCGAAAGATACAGATGGGGAAAACCCACAAGTTCTTGGGCACTCAGCCTTTCTTTGGATGCCATATGCAAATGTATTTACATTTTCTTTTTCCTCCTGCCCATTTTGTGACTCCATCATTTTGCTGAGGAGCTAGTGACTGCCATTTTGCTGTAGTTCTCAGCTCAGACAAAATGGAGGCTTTGGAGGCATCAGTAACTACCACAGCCTGTGCCTTCTAAAATCAAAGATAATTGCCTTCTATAAAAAAGGGGATAATTTTGAGGATGAAAAAAATAATCAGCGTACCCCGTCCTAAAAGGTGGAATCTCTTTTTCTCCTGTGAACACATGGGTGCAGTTGTGTTAATTTCATTGCCAAAATGTAAATATTAATGCACCTTGCACTTTGATGTATTGCCATAAAAGACACTGAATTTCAAATCACCAAGCCCACTGTGTGATACAGGGACATAACTTAGCTATTCATCTTTATTTGAAGCAGCTCTCTTCCTAAAAGCTCACTTAGGGAGATTCCCAGTTGCCATTAGAAAAGCAAAATAAAATTAATCTAAATCATTCTAACTTTATCTTAGAAAATTAATGATGGATGAAAGGGGGGATTTATAAAGGTTTAATAAGAACTAGTCTGGAATACAGTGTATATTCCAGAGCCTATGATTATAGTGGTAATTTAGCAGATTGTATCACTGCCTATCTCTGCCAAAGGATGTTTCACACCATTTAAAATGCACAGTACTCCCTTCAGAGACAGGTTGTTCTGGAATAACTCAACATCCAAAGAAAAGCCGTGTTATTTCACTCCTCTCTTTATCAATTGCATGTGTGCGATTGTATGTGTGTGTGTCGTCTTCTCCTCAGCAATAGCACTAAGTTTTCATGCTTGTTTCTGTGTTCATTTATCAGCCTCCTCAGAGACAGACAATACCAAAAATGGAAAGCCATGAAACCTATTCAGAATAGGGTTTAAGTGCTGACACCACTTAAAGCCACAAAGCGTGAATTGGCCCTTCCTCTAAAAGGTGAATTAAAATAAATTTGGTTTTGAACACGTTACCCAAACTCTGAGAGCTCCTTTTTGTTTCTCTTTTTGAAGAGGAACAAAACAGTAAGATAAGGACAAATCTTACTGATTTTTATCCAGCAAAGGTGATTTGGGAATCTCTAGACCAAAGGGATTGAGATTTGAATAAATTGCATGCCTGTGATGTTTCCAAGACTAAGGATGCAAGTCTCCCAGTGTGCAAAAGCATGAGCCAAACTGATCTGTAGTTAAATTAAAGAATTTGCTGTATTTAAATTCATGCAGTGTATGATTTGACATTCCCTTTGACTTTACTGCCTCTCTTTCTTACAGGCTGTTTGCTGCTAAGTGCAGTGGCTGCATGGAAAAGATCGCCCCAACAGAATTCGTGATGAGAGCCCTGGAGTGTGTTTACCACTTAAGCTGCTTCTGCTGCTGCGTTTGTGAACGACAGCTCAGGAAAGGGGACGAATTTGTTCTTAAGGAAGGGCAGTTGCTCTGCAAAAGTGACTATGAAAAAGAGAAAGACTTGTTGAGCTCGGTCAGCCCAGACGACTCAGATTCAGGTGAGCTTTTCCCACACCTGCTCCAACTGGAAAAGCCACAAGGGTTTGTAGAGCTTTCTTATAAAAAAGTATATCCATTTACACATCCACTTTATCTATATGCACATGCCACCCATGCAAATTAGCAGGCACAGCTAAAAAAATCCTTACTTGCAGTCTGTTCTCCCTAACTTGACTCCCTTCCTTAACTTGCTGCTCAGTAAAGGACAAAAACTTTTTGTTTTCATCAAGGTATTTTTCTGTAAGATCACAAAATGTGAATCAGACTGACTTCAGTTACCTGAGGCCTCATTCAAAATGTGCTGTTTTCCATAGGCATTCTTCCATCCACTTAACATATTTTTCAGGGGATCTTCTGCACGCAGACTTTCAGCACTGAGCTAGGAAAATGGGCAAAGTAGTAATAAGATTTTCAAGAGTATTCTCTCTGCCAATCACAAATGGTAACTTTAAGAAAAACTACAAGTACCACACAGAAGTACTGAGGAGAATCTGAAAGAAGCTGAGAAGTGGATTTGTGCTGCAGCAATAGCATGTGCAGTGTAGGAAGCCAGGGCAGCTGCCCGCTTGGCAAGACTGCCTGCGTATCCACTCCCATTAAGGCAGGCAACGGGGCTCACACAACAAGAAAAATAAAAAAGAAGTAACTTGAATGAGGAGTTTAGGGGAGCCTGTCTCTGAATGCTTTGAGGCCAGGTACAATGCTTGGCTCTCCTGACTTCCATCCAGGCTTCTCCATGGCAGTATGTCTTTTCTGTGCTACTAAGGCTCTAGTTTCTGATCATCTCTTTTGCCTACCTGCTATTTTGTGTCTGAGCCCCATTCTGGTGTCAGCCTAGGAGATCATCTGTGTGTTGTCCCAAGGATAGCTCCACTATGGTTTGTATACTACATATAGTACAGAAGTGAGACATGCAAAGTTTTGCCTGTTACACATCTCCAGGAATGTGTTTGAGGTCCTGCGCTGTTCTTGATGAACACAAACTGTTAGGATCAAGGGACGACAGGCTCGATACCTTACTAGAATGCACTACTACTAATCTGCGGTGTGATCTCTCTCTTCAGAGAAACCTGGGGTTTGAACAGTATCATTGCAAGAGTCTGCACCATTGGGCCTGGGAGTTAAGGCAGAGGGTCACCATACTGTGACCAGAGCTTTTGCCTTCTCCTGAAGAAGACAGTGGAGCCCTCACACTGATAGCAGCTGATGGGTGTCTTCCCTGAGTTCTTCACGGTGATGGAGAGACAGATATTTCCTTTCCTCCACCCATTTCCTAGGGAAGGTTTTAAAAGAGAGTGAGCAAAAGCCGCTTGCTGTCCGTCCAGGGCCGGAAACACAGTACTCCACAGGACAAATAGTTCACACAGTGGTTCTCTAGTCCAAAAGCCAGGGGATCTAGCAGTGGCTTTTAGGCTCACAGGCAGTTCCAGGAGAGACGGGATGCCTCCTTCCTGTGCCATATGCACTCAAGGAGACTGGAAACTTCCTGCTGCCGGTGTGCCCTGGCTGATCCCAAGACTAGAGACAGCATGTACACAAGTTGCTGCCAGCCATCATAATTGCACACTTGTTTCCCAAGAAAATGTCTAAGAAAATCAACAATTACCATTCCATTAAGTGTACAAATGACATGAATGTTTGCCTCTGGTTTATGGGAAAATGCATTATTCCAATTTAGCTAGGAGCAGTAATTATCCTTAATCTCTAATCTGAGAGCCATATTCTCCACATTGCTGAAATTTATATTTTCATGTCGGAATGCTGCAAGACAAAGGTCACTGCTGACTCAGCAGGATGTGCGGGACCGGGCCTTTCTTGGAGCAGCATGTTATTTATTGCCATACTGTATTTGCAGCACCTCGAGTGCTCTGCTGTGTAAATCTCATGTCGCAGGGTTTGGGCTTTTTGTGATCTGCCCGAGGCATGTGAGTTTCCTACTTGCCCTCCAGCATGTATTCTCTCATCACCAACGTCAGCATCCTGCTGTCCACCGGCTGTGTCCAGGCAAACCCCCTTTGAAGAGCTGCGTGTACGGGGCTGTCCCCATGCTGCAGCGATGGGCATGGGGATCCTCCTCCCCTGCCTTCCTCAGTCACCGCACGGGCACTGGTTGCTGCTCTTTGCCAGCCGGCTGCATTTGAGATCTGCTTTGGGCATGGGTGGGCTCTCCTTCGGGACCAGGTTTTGTGTTTTGTGATCAGCAGTGAGCTACCACAGCGGCACAAAACAGCCTTGGTTTCGATTTCATTTCCCCTTGGCACAAGGGGTAGTTTCTTATTCCTGGAGATGCTTTTTTTTCCTCGTTATTCTCTGTTAGCCAAACCCAAACCTGAAAAACAAGTTGACAAATTAAATGGGATGTTTTCTCTCCCATTGTCTAATACATTGAAAACACGGATCTCCCAGATGCCTGTGTGAGAGCAAATGATTTCACATAACCCTGGCTGAGAATGTGTCCTTCTCCAATCAAATATTTATTCACTGGACACAGAAGTAACTCTCCAATGAGCAATATTAATTCTCACAAACCTTTCCTTAGAAATGGCATGCTGGAAAGTTAATAATGTCATGGTTATTAAAATGACTGAACTTCTCTTTAATCATTAGGCAAAAGATGCTTATTAAAGTAAAAGGTGATTAGATTGCTAGGTGCATAATAATCAGACTGTAAAATGAATTAAAGTCTAATTTGTTAATTCCCCAAACGTAATCTTTGAGTATATAAAAATTGCAGTGTGTTTCTTCACGTTGAAGTCCCTGTAATAGTATATTAATGTTTTCTGGAAGAAAAATCAGTAGTCTGGTGAAATAAAATATGCTGAGTTGAAAAGTTGTTTTTCACAACAAAATTTGTGCTTACTCTTCAACCTTTGCCACTGTGATTGAGATTTCCCAGCACACTATACTAACACACATAACATCACCAGATTATACAAATATTCAGAATTTAACTATAGAAAATACAAATAATCTATTTGGTCTACACAAGCACGTATATACTTGTATGTATTTAGCAAGAAAGAGAAATTTGTGCATGCACGTGTAGACACATTGAAATACAGAGAGAAAGAATACTGATGTTTTCTGTGGGATGCAGAAATGAGATGGCAAAGATTATGTTTAGTATTATCTCTAGAGCTTAAAAATATTCAGAAGAATAAGTGGAATCTACACTATATTTAGCTAAACAGACTTTGAGATATTTTTGTGATATTTGCATGTACACTGTTTTGCTGTCATAGCGGTGCGGGCAGTAGTACCTGTCTGCAACTAATGCTTCAGGAGAAGATGCTGCTCTGCTGTGAAGGGAAAAGTGTGTGTCAGTTGGTGTGGTTGTAGAAGGTGCGCACACAGGGGACCAAGTGATGCTGGAAGGGCACAAAGTCTTTCTGTCCCAATTCCTGGAAATATTGAAGCATATTCTGAATTTCCATCCCCTGATCAGTCCCAGGTCCTCAATTAAAAATTAAACACATTTTTATGCTTTTGTGGCATTTGATTGAGGCAGTGCACACAAATCTAAGGTAGTCTCTTCCTGCCCGTAGTTACTTTAGGCATTCAAATAAACATGGGATAATAGTTGAACCTGTTGACTAGTTTGGCAGCTGAAGAGCAGTTCTCAAACAGCCTGTTATCTTGGCGGAACAAGTACAATTTTATATCCTGTTTATTTTTCACCAGTTAAAAGTGATGATGAAGACGGAGATGTTAAGCCCACCAAAGGACAAGTAACCCAAGGAAAAGGAAGTGATGATGGGAAGGACCCAAGAAGACCTAAACGACCAAGGACAATACTTACTACGCAGCAGAGACGAGCATTCAAAGCATCCTTTGAAGTGTCTTCCAAGCCCTGTAGGAAGGTAGGTGCTTCATCAGGGACCTGAAGTCAGCTCTGACACCAGGCCACAGGGGTGACAGGGTCAGCCCACAGCTCCAGATAGCCCCCTGCCCCTTCCCGGGACAGCAGCAAGTGCCTTGGAGTGAATACAGAAACCAGGCCAGCATATGGCGATGCTCACCCAAATACCATCTCAGCCTGGAGCAATTAGCAGCTTAGGACCTGCTCATTGTTATTTCTGGATATTCACCCACAGTACGTAGAGCAGCTTTTGCTGAACAACAATATTTGGTTCTTATAAACCATGAAGTAGTCTTTGACTATCAGAGCTCAGGTAAACAAGTGGCTTTTGCCCTTCTCCTTCCCACCACAGAGGCAGTCACTCTCTAGTGAGACGGGTGCTCAGCTTTGGTCCCAGTACTTGACCTTCCAGTCTTGCTTTTTTTATGAAACTTAACCCTGCTGTTGGTCATGTTTATAGCAGCTAGGGAAAGGTATAATGTATTGCTTCACTGATGAAGCTGGTGAAAATCAAATCTTTGCGAAAAGCAACCCAGGTAACTGTTTCCTCCTAAGTTTGATTGGAAAAAAATGGAGTTGCATCCTGAAAGCTGTCATTTTTGCAAAAAGTGACATTCTCCTGCTGATGTACAAAGTATGTCTTTTGGGACAGTGCAATGTACATTTTTGCCATTTTAAAGTATGAAATTGTACCTCAACAATATAAAAAATGTTCATAGCCAAATTTGTATCTTTTTGCACAGATATGTTTGGTTTATGGGTAAAATAAAAATCATGAAATGACTTAGTGTCATTTTACACAGCGCAGACTATTTGTTCAGTACTTATGAAACTGGTAGCGACATGAAGGGCAGAACTTGAACAAACTATGCAAAAATATGAGGAATTTTTAAAAGTAATTCTGTACATGCAGTTTTTATTGTAAGTACAGACATATTCCTCCTAACATAACTGATCATTTTTTAAAAAAAATATTAAATATTACATCATTAAACATTTCCTCCTGTAGGTCAGAGAAACACTAGCAGCTGAAACAGGACTCAGTGTGCGAGTTGTCCAGGTCTGGTTTCAAAACCAAAGAGCAAAGGTAGGTTGTTTGTCAAGTTCTCAAAAGTAAAACGCAAATTGTCCTCCAACACAGATTTCCCCCTCCCCATAGATGTATACGTACCACAGAGATCCCAGGGACTGAACTGTACATACTTTGCATGCACTGCTGTCTACATCCATACAAGAAAGGCAACTTTCAAACACAGACATTAAGTTCGCCTGCTCAAAGCAACATGAGGTTGGGAGTAAATTTTGCGTGCAGATATGAACTGGAAACTGAGATGTTTAAGCTTAGAAATGAAACTGAACCCACAGTGGCGTGTGCATGAATATAAATGGTCTGTATTAATTGATTCGATGTTTGCAGACAGTTTTGTAAGGAAACAAAATTGTTGCATTCAGAGCCATGAGATTGTTCTGTTCTTCCTCTTTTATTCAGATGAAAAAACTAGCACGAAGGCATCAGCAGCAGCAGGAGCAACAAAACTCACAGCGACTAGGGCAAGGTAGGGGATCTGTGATGAAGACAAAGCAAGGGGAAAAGAATCTGCAAGGTTTCTTGAAGTGCCATTTCCACATAATGTCTTAAGTACAGCCGTACAGGGCATGCACAAGTCTGTGGATAATGTCTGCTATCCTCAGTGGAAACACATGGAGGTGCTGTGTCTGAGTGCCTACCCCAGGTTATCCCACAGCTCTCCCATGGGGCCAGACCCTGGAGGTGCTTTCACAGAAGCTGTTACCTCCTTTCTAGAAGTGTGCAGTACAGAGGTGCTTTCACTGGAGGAAATCTCCAGGAGGCTCACTCCAGGTAGATCTTCAGTTTGTTTTCTCCTGAAGAAAGGGGGACCATACTCAGCTCAGCATCTGCAGGCTGCTTGCAAGGGTGTCACATTGCTGCCACAGCCAAAGCACAGGGAGCCCCTCCTGTGCCCCAGCAGCTGGGGCAGGAGCTGCACAGAGGCACCAGGACTTGCCCTGCTGCTCCATGGATGCTCTTGACGTTCTCCAACTCCCAAGGCCTTGCAGCCTCAAATCCTCCTCTTTACGCAGAGCCAGAAAAACTGGTACCAACAGAAGTTAGAGAATAATAGGGCTGTGTCACGCACAGGAGAGACTTTGGGAAGAAACGGTCCAGCACCCAGGAGCTCCAGAAATCACATAGTCAGAAATTACAAGTCTTTCAACTTACTGCTCAGGGTTGTACTCTCAGACAAAATTTGGAAGGCTTCTCTGAATGACAGGACACAACTAGCTGCATTCACTCTGCGCTCGGGTTCAGTATTGCCACTGATGCTACTGTCTGCTGCCTCTTTGTTCCTAAGCAATGACTGTGCCCTCCTGTTTGCTTTGCAGAAGTAATGTCCAACCGAATGGAAGGGATGATGACATCTTACACACCACTTGCACCACCACAGCAGCAGATTGTAGCAATGGATCAAAGCAGTTATGGCACAGACCCATTTCAGCAGGGTCTTACCCCTCCACAAATGCCAGGCGACCACATGAACCCTTATGGTAAGGCATGCATCATTCTGCCGCATCAGAAATAGCAGGGTTCGTATGCTAGTTCAAACACCAAAGGTTCAGTGGAGTGACTTGCTTTTATAATATCTTTTCTGGGATTTGTACCAGGGAATTTGTACCAGTCAGTTTTGTGTGTATATTTTCATGTACATATGAGGGGGTAGAAGAGAGCTCATCTGAGGCCCTGGACTCCCTTCAGAGCTATTTCACAGTATAATTCTGATAAATGATAAACCAAGCAACATCACCTCTCTTGCTCCACTTTTTTAAAGCACTATCCAAGACATCGAAAAATAAACAGTGCCAAATCCTAGCTCCCTCACAAGTTTTTCCTTTTTCTTAGAAGCTATGGGAGAAAAGTGCCTTGAAAAGTGGTGTAATAAAGCGAAGTAATCTATTCATTCCAAAACGAATAAGCACCCCTCTAAGATCCTTCAGATTGGATGTGTGGATTTGTTAAAGAACAATTCTTGAGCTATTAAGAGATGTGTCACCACAGGAGATTTCTCCTGCGTAATTTTATTCTCTGCCCGAAATCAAGACAGTGGTTTGCTTTCACGATTTCCTGACCACACACCATCAAGTGGATAGGTACACCAAATGCATCACAAGCATTAAATGCCTAATAATTGATTCTGGACAACTGCAGTGTGGCATTTAAATAAAATTTAATCAGACTGTGATTATTGGCCTTGCTATAGCCCACAAATGCCTGTTACGTCAGACTCATTTCTGCTGACCAGGAGCACTTCATTGTAGCACTTCATGTCCACGTGCATATCACTTTCATGAGCACGGCATGCACAGGCCAAAAAGAAATCTTCTTTGAGTCTGTGTTATTACTTTTCCCACTGAGACAAGTCCACGGTACACACCAGGCAATTTGGTAAATCCTGTAAGGATCTAAGGACATCTGAAGTGCCAATGAGCGTTAGATGGCTTGTGATTTTGTTGCTAACAATTTGCTTGACTTTCTAAGCAAAACTCCTTGAGAGGCAGGTTCTGTGCTCCAAAACCAGTGCAGGAGATACCACAAAGCCATTTCAGTGAGTGCATGAGGAAAAAGAGCTGGACTAACACTTTCATAGTGCTCACAGGACTTGAGCTAGAGCTTTTTCTGGTACCTTAAGAGTTGAACTAAGCTGAAATCTTAATTGCTAAGGGAAATAAAAGGTGCTGTTCCGAACCAGCCTAAAAACAGTGGAATTTTCTGAAATGGAAACATGTTTACAACTGTAGTTCACCTGAGACCAGAAAAGCTGGGTGTCGTCCTGGGTCCCGCTGCATTCGTAGGTCTGTCTTTTACCTTGTGTGTAAATGAAGACCTTTACTGGCTACGGCTCTCAGACCGCTTTTCCATGTCGCAGGCACTCAGTGTCAGGTCACGCCTTCCTCAGTGGCCCCAGCGCCCCCGCGAATGCCGGGTCCCAGCTCACGGAGAGCCGGGGACCTGTTCCTCCCCGGCACCATTTGCTCCCATCTCTTTTGTGCTGCTGACTGAAGTATAAATTAAATCCTAGCAGACTTGAGTGGCACTGCTGCCAATTGAACTCTGTGAACTGGTTGCTGGCCTTCCTCTTTGTAGGTGAGACCCTTAGAGCGAAAATTACGTTTATGTGTAAAAACAAAACCAGGAGCGTTCCCTTTTGCTGCAGTGCGCAACATATGAGCATCCGTGTGTACTGTGTCCTCCTCTGGCTGCAGCAATCCAGCTTAACATATACGTTTCATTTGCAGGAAACGACTCCATTTTTCATGATATCGACAGTGATACCTCTTTAACTAGCTTGAGCGACTGTTTTCTTGCCTCTTCCGAAGTTAACTCCATGCAGGCTAGAGTAGGAAACCCCATTGACAGGCTGTACTCTATGCAGAGCTCGTATTTCGCCTCATGAAAATAAAAGAAAACAAACAGCCGGCATATATTTAGCCAGTGACTTTTTCCAGTGCAGAGTCTACAGCCATATGTTGCCCAGCTCTTCCTTCACAGTGACTCCTGCTGCCTCTGGACTGCAAAGAGCATTTTTAGGAAGACTGTATCTGTGTGCATATATGTGTATGTATGTATATATATATTAATACCTACCTACCTACATACATACATATATATATATATATTAAAAAAAACAAAACACCACCAGTCCCATACCCTTGATTCCCAGCTTGCACCAGACCACAAGACAAGCACGGAAGGAACAGAAGACCCTGCTCGTCAGCAGCCTTTGGTTTGGTTTGGTTTGAGCTCATCGTTGTAAAGGAAATGGATTTTGCGGAACGCTAGACCTTTTCCTCCTTTCTCTCTTCCTTTCTTTTGGATGTTTAAACTTTTTTTTTTTAAAGCCACTGATACTGACATCAGTCGACCATATGACAAATAAATCAAAGAAACTGGAGATTCCTCCCTTTTCTTACTGCATGATTCATACTATGTTGTGGATAAATTGCCATTTGAACTGTGAGAAGTTAATGTAAATGTGACGTTCAACATTTGTTTCCTTTCTACACTTTTTCTGCATAACCTAGATCTGCTCATTAGTTTATAGCCCTTATGCATATGATACTGAGGAAACTGGTTAACAGTAATATTTGTGGAGAAATCCAGCGATTTCATAATAAGAAAGGTCTATGACCCCGGAGAGGAGATGCATGTTAGGGACAGAGGCTTTTAGGTTAGTATTGATCTTAAATAATTAAAACTAAAGGTGCTTACAAGACAGAGTTTTATTTAATTTTTTTTTGAAGTGTGAGAACAAAACATTTATATTTGTTTGTAAGTATTGCAGTGCCAAATTTCAAGTCTAGACCATGATTGGCAAACATGTGTTGTTCATTCTGTTCTGTTTATTTATGTTTTGCATGAGGTATAAATGTGCTATACTCCATTGTCCATCTGGAATAATTAAGCACTCCTTTAGTTAATTATCCCATCTCAGCAAGAATCTATGATACACAGTTCTAGCCTGAACCATCGGAAGTCCTGAAATATGCACCAACTGGCGAAAAAAAGGTATGAAAGAGATCACAATGGGAGGTTTAGATATGTTGAGCTGGAGTCCAACCCACGTCCTGCAGGTTTCACACTGATGGGACTCCTGTATTTACAATAAATAGTCCAACTAATCTATTAGTGCAAATATAAGAAGAACAAGTACACAAATTGAAGGGAATGTCCCAGCTGAAGTCTGAATGTCTCAGATGCTGAAGTTTGAGCATATGTCATATAGGTTTTCGTAGGGCATAAAATATCATAACTAATAATAGTATAGTTATAAATATTGCCTGGTGATAATTATAATGTGGAGAGGCAGACAAGTACTGTCATGGCTTTTAGTGGAGAAAACTTCATGGGGAAAATTTGCCAGGGTAATATCAGTAATTATAGGGTGTGTTCAAAATAGAGCTCATGGGGAAAGATTGGCAGGATAGGCACTTTCTTAAATAAATACCTTTAATATATTGACCATAATAGCCAAAAACAAGTCCAAAGCGTTGGTTAATCCGACTCCTCCAGGCTGAGGACTGGTACCAGGCCGGCGCTGCAGAGTCTCATGTGGGGCTCAGCACCTTCTGCAGGACCGCAGGACTCTCTGGACTCCTGTCCTGGGGGGGCCAGAGCAGGGCCCCTGCAGCCTCAGCACCCAGGGAGAGAGCAGCCCTACCGAGTGCTGGGGGCACCACGGCCACAGCCGAGGGGGGTCCTGCTGGGGAGCCCCGTGCACAGCTGCCCACCCCTTCGCTGACAGAGAAAGGTCCTCCTTGTGTCCCCGAGGGGTGGATGGCAAGGATCAGATGATAGGTCCAAGGGAAAAAGTAAGATCACATTCCTCCCCAGCATGCAACTGTGGACCAAGTGCGTTAGAGGTTTCTTGAGAAAGCAAAGTTTTATCTGCAAGATAAGTGCGTGCATTTTCACTCTGTGGAGGCGAGGAAAACACTGGGGGAGGACTATGTGTGTGCAGTGGAGGAGAGCAAAGCACAGACCCAAGGCAAACCCTTCCCGCTGCTGTGCAGTGGCAGACCCGCCGTCTGCCGCGCACACAGCCCTTCACGAGCGAAGGGACGGATGTCTCTGCGAGGATGCCGGGGTGATGCTCCCCTCCCTGCAGGTTCCCATGTCCTCCCTCTGCGGCAGCAGCCTGAACTGCTGGCTGCCATGCCCAGGGACGTAGGTCTGTCGCGCCCATATGCTTTTGCTAGCAACCGTTCTCTCCCTTTCTGACAGGGATGTAGATTTTCAGTTAGCCCCTGGGTATATTTTGAAATTGGAAGAATTTTCATTTCTAACCCATCCCCTTCAATTATTTTTCCCTTTCCTTGTGTATCAAAATAAATAACAATTTCCTTTCTCTCTGCATGATAGCAAACATCTATAAAGAACTCAGGTGATCCTCAGTACTTGCAGGGCAGAAGGCAAGCAGATTTCATATGGCACATTATAAACATTTGTCACCACTGATCTCAATGGATTCATCCAGTTTTCCTCCCCACCCTTCTGCTGTGCTACTTTAGAGTCATAGAAAAGCATCTTCACCATCTCAAACATACCAGGTTTATAGACTCTACACATAGGCATAACCTTGCTTCATCCCTCATTACTGGCAGGATCAAAATGGCATTTTTAGTGTTTACAGGGACTTATATGAGAACTATAATGTGACCTACAGTTTGAAGAACTGCCTTGTCCCAACTCTACCTCTGCTTCTGGGCTGGATGTTGAAAAAACAATCCATTTCCAAGGAAAGAATCAGATATCCCATTTTATAGCTGAAGTAACCATAACCTTTTGCTGATTTTTTTGGATGACTGTTTGCCACCTTTTTTTTTTTTTTCCTTTTCATTGCTTGTACATACCATCTCCTCTTCCCTTGGTGTGTTGTATGATGACGCCTTAGCTGTTTGTTCCCCCATGTTCTACCATCTCTGGTGCCATGTGCACGACACAGTCAAGCCCTCTGGCATGCGTAACATTTCCCATGCCACTGTGGGTTGCTGCTGGTCAAGGGAAGGAATGCATAGCCAATGATTTCCAGTGGACCTGTTATATCTGGCAGAGGCCGAAGTTCATTAAAGCAAAATAAATGTCACTTTTTTTTGTGGAATGAATTACCCTACTGGAGTGTGATCATTGTGGTTTTAACCTGGGACCTGCAGTAAAAGATTATATAGCAACCTCTGACCTTTTTGATTTCTGCTTTACTCTTCTATTGTCAAGGGAATGTCACCGATCAGGTGAAAGTAAAATGTTTAATGGGCCATATCACAGTAATATCTTACACTGAGTCAAATTGATAAACTCTTGCCAAAAATTCTTAGCATCTGGCACTTCCACGGAAACCACAAACAATGATTGCACATATGGGAGCTTGAAGGCTAGAGGTCATGACAGCAGTTTATTACATGCACCTTACAGTGATCATTTTCCCTAGGAAATTAACCCCTCTCTAATATAAATGCATCAAGTGAGCTCTTCACGGTGTTTCAATCATGTGTTTTGGCTAAGCAAGGAATACATGTTAAGCTGAAGTGGTGACAAGATGCAATTAAGTAAAAGATGATTGATTAGGTTTCAGCGTTTGCTCAATATTGAAAAAAGATGATTGTGAGATCAGAATGAATATGCTAGGTACTAGCTTCCTCAAAGGTCTTTACTGTGCAGTTACCAGATCTGTAATGGTGGCACATAGAGATTTCCCGGCATTCAGAAATGGTTACGGAGCAGTGTGGCCCTCGATGCTGCTGCCGGGCTCTCAGCTGGGCAGCAGCACGTTCACGTTGCACGGTTGACTGTCGAGGGGATGATTCCTACCATGCACTGCTGTTCTCAGCCCCCCATTTACCACAGCACTATGGATTAAACCCTGTATCGTAAGCAGTTAGGGGCTGGTGGTAAATGTGTTTCACAGTCATGACATGGAAGACAATTATGTTGATGTAAGTAAAGTGTGGTTGTTGCAATCACTAAGATTGAAACACCATCCTAGGCATTTTGATCTCATTTCTTCTTTAAACTCTGTCATCAAAAACATCCAGATCACTTGGCTCAGTTGCTGCTAACCGTGCCTGAGATGTGACTCACATGAGTCTCACGATGGCTGCTGAGGGGATTTTTCAGACCCACCCTGCAGAAGTCGGATGAGTATTACCAGGTCCTTTGAAGGGGTCAATGCCGCTCTGTCAGCAGCAACTCAGCCACCTCACTGTGCTGTCATTGCATGGGGAAGGTCCTTCATGCCGGCAAACCTTCAAGGGATGATGTGAACCCACTTACCTCTTACTACTGTGCTCAGGACTCCCTTCCAGTTTCCTTGAGGATCAGAAGTATGTCCCAAGCCACCGCCCCAGGTGCCCCAGGGAACCCGGCTCTGTGATGCTGCTAGGGATGCTGCAAGCTGGGCTTTGCGAGAGCACCTCTTTGAACCATGTCATAATAATTCTGGTTGTCCCCAAAAGTCACTAGAAATTAATAGCAGAATCCAGGAGGAAGGGAAGGGTTCTTACAAGCCTGGAGCTTGGTCACAACAGCTAAAGGACAGAGAGGCTATTGAAGAACATCAAAGCCCTGGGAGCTGGAGCCAAAGTCTCAAGTGCTCAGCATAGTGCTTTACACAATCCCATGCCCAAACCACGTCATACATTTCTGAACAGCAGACGCTCCCTCTGTGTGTGGGTCCATCTCCAGCCCGCTCTCCTTGCCCCGGTGGCACGGGACAGCCGACCGCTGCACCCACAGCAGCGTGGCGAGGGCTTCAGGCATCTGTTCTCTCCGGTTAGGGGGATACTTGGGCACTTGCTTTCCTCTTGGCAGGTACCTGAAGTCTTCTGGCTTTGGTGGGATTTAAGCGCGGTCTTGCTCATTTGAGGCCTATCTGAATAAACTGACAACCATCTGCCCTCCTCAAGGATGCACCCGGGTCCCCTTGGTTCTGCACACCCTGTTTCTGCTCAGCAGTGACTGTGAAGGGACTGCCAGATACTTTGCATTGGGAACTCTGTTTTTAAGTGAACACCCTATTTTTTAGCTGTGTATGGCTGTATTACTTGTATATTTATATATTCTGTATTTATGTTATCAAAATGTAGTATTTTGTAGCTGTCTGTTACAATTTGTTTAACTTGTAAAAAATATGACTATGCTCTCTCATGCTTAACCAGCTGCCTCTCACCATAGATTCTCTGCTCCTTTCCCTCTGTGTTGGTAACAAACCACCATAATGTATGTAGATCGGATTTTTTTTTTTTTTTTAATTTAATTACTTGTCATTGTTAAATTATTTATTAGTGTTTTTAAATTTCATTTCAC